GGGAAATTCAGCCCTTCTCTACCCACCAACTTACAGGCAGGCGGCCCAGCTGTCCTATGAAACACAGCCACAACATTTGTGAAGAGACTGACCTATCATTCCAGAGCAATTGTAAGTGGTTTCATACCTCCTCTGGGGCACTGAAATCCCCCAAAATTTCTTTAGCTATGTGTTATACAACCCACCCTTCTCTCTTTCTCTTTCTCTTTGATTCTCTCTTTGAGGTTATGCAACGTGATAACGCTCTCTCCATCTTACATTTATAAGTTTACTGACAGAGAGGATATTTTAAACTGTTCCAAAGTTTGTAACCTAAATTATGGATGAAGTGTTATTACCCAGCAAGGAAAGTGCACTTATCAATGTGTGCCAGCATTCTGTCATTTTCATGTTTATTCAGGCTGGAGTTGAGCACACTGCTACGTTGTGTTACATACTATTGTGAAGCCACATTGCAAAAGACGTGAATATCACATAGTGATTTTTTATTATATTTTTAATCAACATAAGCTAATTAAAGTCTCTGGTACTGATTAGATATCAGATATACATTATTCATGTACATAATTGGTACATAATTAATCTATCTATCATTAAAATAGGCTAATTATGTACTAATTAGGAAGATCATTCGATAGATAGACAAATTATTTTTACTCTAGTTTTCCTATGGACTTATTTTATATATGTGTGCTTTGAATTTGTTTTTGTGAAGGTTCAGTGCTGGCTTCATGTAATGAGTCTGAGAGTGAGGGTTCAGTTCCTGAGCTGGAAGAACTGGAGCCACTGAGACCATCAGAGCCACAGGTGAGTTTGTCTATGGGATTTTAAAGGTGACCATCTTTCCATATATATGTATATGTATAGTATATAGTATATAGTATATAGTATATATACATATATATATAGTATATATATTTTACACAATGTACTTCTGGCTAAGCATGTTGTTTAACATGTTGTTCAACTAGAATTGCATTTTAAACTCATAAAATCTAATATTCATCAGATGTTAGCCTTTTTGCTATTTAGCCAGTAGCAGTGGCAGCCCTGATTTCCAGCTACTCTTTAAGGCAAACTTCAATCAAAATGTTGCTGCTATTGCAAAAAGCAAAAAAACAAAACAAAACAGAAGCATCATGAGTTATATTTAGGTATATTAGCATAAACATATTAGCAACATTTGCATATTAATAGCATAATGGATTATTTCATAAACTTAACTGTTTTTTCTCTAGTCTATCTCCTCTGCGGATGAAGGGTTAAACAGGCCAAAGCAGAGCCGTAGTGAAAAGAAGGCCCGCAAGGTTGGACTACTATATGCTACTACATAAACTTAATAAGTGGTCAAATATAATATTAAAAGTGATACGATTCTTTTTCTTTCATTTCAATCCCTAATTCTTGTTTTCTCTATTGTGCATTTAGGCCATGTCTAAGCTGGGTTTGAAGCCAGTCCACGGTGTGACCAGAATCACTATTAGGAAGTCCAAGAGCATCTTGTTTGTCATCAGCAGACCAGATGTATTCAAAAGCCCCGTATCAGACATTTATATTGTGTTCGGAGAGGCAAAGGTGAGTACTGTTTGTCTATTTGGTTACTCAAGTTTCAGCTTTCAGTTTTAGCTTACTTATTCGGTCCTTTTCTCTCCTCAGATTGAGGACCTGTCTCAGCAGGCTCACAAAGCAGCCGCAGAGAAATTCAAGGTGCCTGTGACCTCTTCTCCCTTAGCCCCACCTGTCCCACCCAGCCTCACTATCAAGGAGGAGAGTGAAGAGGAAGAAGAAGAGGTATTTTCTGAACTATTGTTTCTGAATACCTATTTCAACAACCGTTAAAACGTATGTTCTGAAATCTCTCTTTATCCTTGCTTCTTTCTTTCTTTCTATACATCAGGTGGATGAGGGAGGCCTTGAGCAGAGAGACATTGAGCTGGTGATGGCTCAGGCCAATGTGTCACGAGCCAAAGCCGTCCGTGCGCTGAAACACAACAAGAATGACATTGTGAATGCTATCATGGTGAGAAACGATGAGGCTGAAGGCGGGAAAGAGAGGGGAAGACAGAGAGTGTGGAGGGAGGGCAGATGGTGAATAAAATAATGAGTCACAGCCAGTGAGCAGGGAGGGGGTGAGATGAAAGAGCAGAGGACAAATGACAAGTAGAATTTCTCCCCAGTAACTGAATAACCTCCACTGTTCTGTAGGTCATCAGTACAGTCTCATGGCCACTAGATGGCAGCAAGTGCTCTCATAAGAACTGGAGCTGTTCAAGTGACGCAGATGTTTTGTTTCTTGATGCAGGATAAAATACTATTAAGATAACTGGGAAATGAAGCCTCACATAATGAGTATCCCTTTTAATTATATACAAAGAGAGATATGTTCCACAGTGGCACATCTTTTTCATTGGGTAGAAGTGAAGATAGTATTTTTGTTGTTTTCATTTATCTTGAATTCAATTTTCCACCTTTTCTCTTTCTCACCTTCACTTTTCTCCCCTGCATTTCCACAGGAGCTGACCATGTGAGCGGTGAAGACGATTCAACTCCTGACCCCTTTATTCCAGCCTATAAAGCCTAAACACCTGACTCTTCTATATCGCTGCTACTATATGTTGCATCCCCAATATCTGCTAAATAAAGTCTGTTCCAACGTGGGCTCTGACTGGACCCTGAAACTGATCTTACTGAAAAGATTAGTCTTTCACATTCATTAAATCAAACATGCTATATTGATCCTTTACGCCAACTTTCACTTCAGGAGAAGTTGAAAATATTTAAATGAAAGAAGAGGCGAAATGTTTCTGATTGGTTATCGGAAGCAAAATCTGTGCTATTCGATTCCATGCTAGAGTTACGTCCTTAATTTATTGGACGAAAACATCATTCTTGCAGTTTTTCATCTGTACACCACTACAGGGGATTTTAAATCAAACTATTTTAAATCCCATGTTTGAAAAGCTCAAAAATAATGAGAAAAATTGAGTGGAAAACAGTTTCATAGCCAGTTGAGGCTCAGTCTCTTGTAATTTCATTACAAATGAAGCAGGAATGAAGCAGTGTTTTATAGCATTTTACTGTAATTTAAAAATATGAAGTTAAACGATATCAGTGCAAGTGAGGAAGGTCGTCAGTTGGCTGAAAAACCAAATCCACCAAGTGACTAAATCAACAATTTGTTAGATTATTAAAAAGAAAGAATGTGCTGACCAGCTAAGCAACAGCAAAGAGTCTGACAGATCACAGACGACAAGTAAATGATTGCAGAATTATTTCCATGGTTAAGAAAAAACACTTCACAGAATTTAACTAAGGCAAGAATTATATTGAAAAGGTTTATTGCCAAAGTCTATAATCAAGAGATGCCGTCACAAATGCAGAAAATATGAATACAGACATTTTACAACAAGGTGCAAAAGACCAGTTACAAGCAAGAACAAGAAATCCAAATTAGACTTTTCCAGAAAACAGATGAAAGAGGATTCATTAGCTGGGCCCACATCCTCAGTTTAGGTTTTGCAGCGTTATTTAGTAGATAAAGGCGAATAAAGGCACATGAACTAATGAAAAGTGAAGAAGTGAAGGAATTGAAAAAAGGGCAAGGAGGGTGGGGCACGGAAATAAGAACGAACGGCCCTTAGAACTGGGGGTGTCATATATAGATAAGACCCAGAAGGGGCATGTTTGGAGTCGTGGTCCTGCTCCTGGAATTCAGATATTTTATCTCCAATATATAGTACTAGAATGGTGGAAGAAATAAGTATGAAGAAGGAAAGAAACAGCTCATGATCCAAAGCTTACCACAGCATCTGTCAAATATGGATATAATGCCTGTTTATTGATGATGTGACTGCTTTTTTTTTTTTTTACTTTTTGTGTCCCGTTTGGATCTTTAGCCATCAGAATTGTTGTCTTGAGGCCAAGAAAGATGCCAAGCGATTTCTTTTACCAAGTGGATCATCATGGCCTTGCCATATTGGTCCATTTGATTGACCTTTATTATAATTATGAATTTATTTTATTTTCAGTTGCTACAAACGGGACAGACATGACTGGGGGATAGGACAGGGAGAAAGAATGAAAGAAAGAGAGGGAGAGAAAGAAAACCAAAGGGGAGAAGAGACGGTGAGAAGGGGGGGAAGAAAGAAAAAAAAAGAAAAACAAACAAAACACCTGGATCACCTGTATGGAGAAAAAAAACAGAAGAGAATGATGATGTGACTGCTGATAGAAGCAGCAGGATGAACTGTGCAGTGTACAGGGCTGTACTCTGACTGACCCAGACAAAGCGATTAGGTAAGAAGCAAAAGCAAACAGCAAAGGCAGCCCAAGAAGCAAACAAATGGGATGTTCTGTAAAAAGTCAGTTGCCTAATCTTAGTTCAGCAGAGCAGCCTTTCAGTTATTGAAGATAAAACTTAATGCAGAAAGACCCACAAAGAAGGTGGTTGCAGTAAAGGCTCAGAAGAACAGAGCATTTATTGACTTTCATTTGGTCTAGATATCAGGCAGTCATTGGGCGCAAACAATATTTATCCAAATATTAAAAACCATGTTAATGTTAATTGATTTGAGCCTATGAAAATGAGTGAGGTGGATGTATAAAAATGTCAGTAATTCCAAAATAGTTAATGCAGTTTTTTTCTAAAACCCCTTGAATTACAGCTGAAAGTCTGCACGCATACATATTTATGATCAGTCAATTTCCAGTGCGCTGTGGTCATGTACAAAGGCAAAACTGCAAAAAACTGTCTTGTCTTGTGGCCTAAATGTGTGAGATAAATGAAGACTGTATAAAATATGCTTGGCACAATATATTGTATATCGATGACCTTTATTTAACTGGCCGCAGGTTGTATCTTAAACAAACATTACAAGTAATTGTTTTAATGTTTTTGGAAGGCAATCTTAAGTGTATGTGACCTAAACTGAAAATTCACCCTCACAACTTACATATAACAATGCCACAAAAAAGAAAAAAAAAAAACAATCACAGAGAGATGCCAAATGATTTTTTTTATTGTCCAAAAGTGGTTAAAATACAAGGCATAGATGAGGAAATGCTGGGTCTGTTTTGACAAGTAGAGGCAAGAGCACAATGACTGATCACTGGTTAATCATTTAAACTTAAACACAACTATAAAAAAAATAAGGGAAAATAATACGTACTATGTATATGTGTCACTGACACTAAAGTGCAGTGTTCTGTTGCATAACATTTTTGGTACAAATATCTACTTGCTAGTGTGGGTGATCTACCTACATTTGACATTTACTGGGTGCTTTGTTAAAAAAAAAAAAAGCCTGCACACTGATCCAGATGAATCATCAAATTACAAGCAATGACCACTGTTAATGAGTATTGCCTGTTCCTTTGACTGAATTAACTCCCACATGTAAAAGCAGCATCAAAAGCAGATGTGAAGGACAGTATGTCTGTTTCAGTCTGTGATCGTATTAAAAGGAAAATGATGCCATGGGGGGAAAAACCCCAACAACTATAAAATAAGATTAGTCACTATGGTCAGTGGAAATGTACTGTTAGCAAACATCAAACAGTGGTAAATCTTTCATTATGAACACACACAGTTCCTTCCAAAATATAAACATAGGACTTAAAGCCTGCTTTGTATCATCAAAATTCATCCAAAATTGTAGTACAGCAAAAAGTGGTTATCACCTCAATGTTCTCCACAGCAGTTCGAGCAGCAACTTCTCTTCTGGAAAACTGAATAAATACCTTTTCTGGCCCGAGTCAGGCCAGGAGATCAATATCTCTTTAAGAGCTGCTTTTGGCTGGGAGGACATTATTCTCAAAGTGTCCCTGGTTGGTGATGTTCCCTGCTGGGTAGTATCTGGCCACCACAAAGGAAGAACCATCTGATGCAGTGGCTTTACCGACACCCAGCTGTTTAGTGCTCTTCCACACCATTGCTGTGAAATGGCCTAGGCGACATATAAAAGGAGAAATGATGAATAGAAAGAAATTAGAAAGGCAAAATCTGGACCACGTAAGAGAGAGAGAAACGTGCTTTTACTGTAGTGAACAGTTGAGGCTAAGTTCACACGCTCTTCAGTTTATCCAAATATTTGCAGACACAGGAATTTTAATTCCTCTCTCATTCATCGCTTCGAAATCTCTCCTCTTGCCTCGACCGCTTTAGTCCTTTCTTAAGGGAACTTTGCATGACTCAGTGTGAATCACTGCGATGACCTACTAGTGATCTGCTTCATGTGTGATTAAGTTACACCAGCTCATGTACACTGGTGTCTGAGGCTATGGGAAACCATCTGGAGGAATTAAGGCACAGTGGATGTGACATGCAGGGTTAGAAGTGATGCATAGGATTGTAATTTCCCCTCAGTTTCTCCTTGGCTGGTCACAGTCAAGCAGTTGCACGTTGTCTGAGGTGTGACATCAGCACAAGAATAACAACAACCTTCTCCATGCCTGAATAAATGTGACACTGAGAGGGAGAAACTGACATCGAGTAAACAAAAAACGACAAAGAAACAGAGAAAACAACAAACTGGAAAAAAAGATGAAAAAAGACAGTTAGAGATAGATGTGCATGAATCTCACCGGTGCCAGAGGAGAAACCGGGACGGTTGAAGTTGTACTGTTTCACTTCATCATACCAGCGGTCTGCCACATCCTTACCTGCACATGCAAACAACTGGCTTGAACTTAAAGGAAAATCAAATTAGCCTTGTGTCACACAGTAAGCAGAAAGCACTCTACAAATCCTCCTTAAGCTCCTGCTTACAGTGCTGCACTTTTTGTCACACTGTGCCTCACTGTGTGTGTATCTTGTGAAATACACCGGTCTGTGCTGACATATTTCTGCACTGAGTCATAGTATCTGAAGTGGAAGGGAAATGGATCCCAGCTGTTCACTTGCAGGGTTTGGCAGACACCACAGAGGATCTAATTTAGGCTTCACAGGCTAAAATAATGCATCTGTGGAAGAAGGTGTCTTATTAGATTTTCCTGCCACATTCTCACAGAAACCTACATGTACAGGACATCTGAATTACTGTAAAGTTTAGACAAATTCAAATGCAGAAAATAACCTGTCTGGTCATAAGAGGCCCAAGCCAGGTTTTCGCCACAGCTCCCTCTACTGGACTCCACGCTGTGTTTTAGGATCCGTGTGCTGGCCAGACTTTCAGCATAGCTGTAAAGAGAGACAAAGGAAATTGTACAGTGTACTGCTTGAGTTAATTCCCATTTATACTTTGGGTGATGCATGTGTGGATGCACACTTTCAAAAGTCCAACTCTTCATCAGTAAATTGAAGAGCTAGGAAAAAAGGAAAGAAATTTTGCTTGTCATGTCAGAGACTTCTTCAGTTCTAAAAACAAACAGTGAACAGTCTCCAGATATTTTGGAGGTGGCCGTTGTCAGGCAAGGTGTGAGTGGGGGTTGAAGCACCTGGTAAGGGATCTCAAGACTGGACTATCAGTCTCTTCCCAGGTGCTTCGACCCCCCCCACTCAAAATATCTGCAATACTCCAGCTTTTGCTTTAAAAACTGAAGGAGCCTGTTGGATGAAAGGTCTTAGACGAGATGTTTTCTGCTTAAATAAGTCTAGTTTCTTTCTTTTTAAAAAGCTCAAAGGACTACCTGGATGATTGGGAACTTATACAGACATATTTCATCAAGAATAATTTCAAGAGCTTTCACATTTTTAAAGCTTGCTACAATATCCTGTTCTACACTTCTACAAGAAACAGAACAACAACCTTAAACCTGTGGTGCAGAAACAGAAACCATTTCCTCTGTAAACAATCTGGGTTAGCCCAACCCTTGGATCATTTCAAGGGGTCAAAATACATTTTCATAGACTAATTTGATGTTGTAAAGTCATAAAGTTAACTCACTACAAACATATAGGAGTAACTGCTGTCCTATGAACTTTGTAGTGATATAATTCAGGAGCAGTGTCCAGGATATTCTAATTTATAATCAATTCCAAGGTAGTTTCTACAGTTTTCACATGTTAGCATAGCTGTTCATATAGGTGTGCAGTGGCCTGATTGACCCACACAATGTGCTGTGGATCCAGAATGCATGTTAAATTCTTCCTTGTCGAGGTCATTTGGGTTTTTTGGATGAAAAGAAAAACATATGTTGTGGAAGCAGTGAGATCTGTTATCCATTTTGGCTGAACTGTGCTTTAAACTTAGTTTATTTATGTTTTTCATACACAAATCATGTCCAAGACACACAGCGTGTAAGAGCTGTGTGCCCAGTCAGTTTACACAAAGAGTGAGACAGACCCCATTCGTCGAGTTCCAGTGAACTGAGTTTTCCATGCAAGCATCAGATTATCTCAAAATTCCAATACTGATATTGGAATACTGATAGATATTACAGTTAAGTTCATACATGGCTTTTAAAATAATACTGTCATTTTAATTGTGCTTCAAATGTTCCTGTGAGGGATCAACTGAAGAGGTTTTTAGCGCCATGTTATTGTTGCTTTGCACCATCACACATGTTCAAGAAAATGGAGAAAGACTTTTATGACAGCTGCCTCGGTCCTTCCTGACAGCGGTGGACAAGCTGACATACTCGAGAGATTTAACTCTCTTGTGGAGCTTCTCTAAGAGTCTAGTGGAAATGAAGCTTTATTCAAACTTCATTTGAATAAAATGCTAATGCAGCTGCAATTAGTGACAACAAATTGTCAACAAAACCTGTAATCACAATGAAAACAAACCAAACACCCAAGATATATTTTTTTATAATTTGTGGTTATTGCATCTGACAGGCTACGCTGGAACTGTCACTGTTATCCGGAGCAGTTTGACAGTGACTAGTATGTGCAGTCCTTGCTAATTAGGTTTCTAATTTGATCTGTGTGTGCATTAACCCACCGGGCAGCCTCTTTGCTCAACTTGCTGCTCAACTTTAGCGGAGGAGCCTGGTGCTTCATCCTGTAGTCGTTGTGGCACCGCAGCACCTCCTCAGCAAACTGCTTTGAGGCTGGGAGACAAACAGGACAGACAGGAAGCCTAAGTCAGCCTCTGACAAAACAGACGTAATGATGCAACATGAAGACTCGGGGAAGGTTGCAGAATACAAACTCAAGCTGAAACCTACAGCCTGAGTGACCTCAGATAGCGAGTACCAACTTGGTGACAGGTGATGAAGTAGAAAACATCATCTGGATCAGCCCCCTCCCCCATACCACCACCACCACCACTGGTGCCTATCACTCATGGGGCTTTTCATGAGTCTCACAGTCTCTTGAGCACTCACACAATAGGCACATTGAAACAGCCCCGCAGAAACAACAAGGCTGAGAGAAAGCATGCAGCACCACTATTAATCTTACCTTACAATTTAGTGCCATCAAAGAGGACAGTAAATTAATAACAGAAAAGGACATCGGACAGAAATTAGATTTAGACTTCTGTATGTGGTCTGTTCTAATTTTAAAAGAGCATTGCCCACAAATGCAGACAGTAAACAAACATGCCGGCTCTTGTACAGCTACATGGGGACAAAGTTCAGCCAACAATAAACATCAAAAGCTTCAGGGTGTAATATCTGCTTACCTGATTTTCCCATGTTGCTGACACAGGAAGCCTTCAAGTAAGATCAGGAACAAGCTTAGAGCAAAGTAGAAGCAGCCTCTCCTCTGTGCTGTTTTCAGACTCCACTCTCTCACTGTTACTTTCTCTTTCTTAAGTGCAGTGTAATGCTGGCACTCTGACAGTGCTTCTAATGCATTTATTTCTTGGTTTTTCCTGTCTCATTCTACCGTGAACTCACATAAACTTTTGCAGTCTTCCCCTTTAGCTCTATCGGGATGTAACAATTATTGCTCAACTATTCCTCTTTTTCATTTGTCCTTCCTTTGGCCACACACCATACTATCTGCATGCCCTACTTCTTCCTTTCTGGCCTAGAGAAGCACACACCCAAGCAGGGGAGCCCCTGCAGTCACTGGTGACATCATCTCTGTGAGACACATGCCCATATATGGCTCTGAACTCCTTATATTCAGGAAAACATTGCCCCTGGTAGCCCTGTACTTCTTTTCTCACAATCTACATGTTCATGATGAAGAATTAAGCTAAATAGTGTGCACTAAGGACAATAAATGTCTTTCACTTTCACTACTGGGGACTCGTTTAATACCCCGAGGATCAATATGTTCCATTGTTATTCCCAGTGCACCCAAATGAAAATGAGCGATTCCTTAATTCCCTCCCTGGATTGAAATTAGTAACTGACAAATTTCCCCTTGAAACAAAGTGATTCAATATTCATCATGCTACAGAAAAGCTGCAGAGCTTTTGCCATGTTACCCACCACACTTTATCCATGTCTTCTACCAAAGATATTTGTCATTTCATAATAAATAATAAAAGCAGGGCTGGCTTGCAGCAAAACCTCACACAGATTTACCTCATATTTTATCACACATCTGTCTGACTCTGCTTTGGAAATCGTGTCTGGAGTATTTTCTTCATGTTACAGCTTGTGTAAAGAATACTTTAGAAAACAAAACACTCTTACAGCTCTCTTACTGCCATCAATAGGATTTCATTGTGTCAGCACCAAAGTGCTCTGAGGAAACTGCTTAATGTTTAAAAGCAGATGATGCAGAGTCTTTACTGGCTAATTTCCCAGTTGTTCAGCCACAGTTTGCTGGGCTTGAATAAATCAAGGCCAATGAGGACACGCAGCACGGAATATGAATGCACGTAGGATCAAGATATTTAAACGTCTTGCAAATATGCAGATATTTTAAAGACTGATGGATGCACGCCATAAAATCTTGACAGTCTATTTATAATGACATAAATACAAAACTAATCATGTCTTCAGCTGTATTTTGCATTTGGCAGTAATGCTGACATGCTCAACAACTGAACAGAATAAACAGTTGTATATTTCGTGAGCCTACTGCTGTGCTAGTGTTATCGTGTAGTTTAGAGGACCGCTGTAAAACCTCTCAGACTTAAAAGGATTTATATTTGGCTACGTAGGGCAGCGGTTTACACACTTGCCTAACAAGTGAAAGATCCCTGTTTTGATCCCAGATGGATACACAAATCCCTTTGGGGTTGTGTCAGGAAGGACATCTGGTGTAAAAATCTGCTAAATCAAATATGTTGAACTACCTGCAGAGGCGACCCCTTGTGAATAAGGGGGTAGATGAAAGTAGCTCTGTACTGAGGCTATGCTCTCTGCAACGGTTTGTAATTTTTGCTGTTCTGGCAACTGATGCAGCAGTTCATGCCATGAATACAATACATGGTAATCCCAAAGACAACTTCGTAAATGAGTCAGCTGAATGTTAATTTGCAGTATAGGCTTCAGGTGTTGGTCTCTAATGAGATGCAATGAAAACGAAATGATTCAGCATTTAAAAATGTGAAATTTGGAAAAGTGGGGAAAATGGGTCCTTGTTTTGTCAGACGACGTATGTGCTGTTCTCTGGGCCAAAAATTCAAGAACAAATCCAGAAATGGTGGTTAAATAAGTGTGAGACATAGCTAAAGTTAGTTATATATCCTACTGAGGCAATCATCCACTCATCTTTAATAAATGAAAATAAGACTTTACTGACAAACTCTGTGATGCTTTGAATTGTAATTATTTCATTTGCCACAAGGTGGGTCTGTTAGCAAAGGTACTCAGTGTGGCCATTAGTCACACTAAGTGCAACTAATGGCATCCTGGTTTCATAATACGAGTGGACATGATGGGATTCATGTGAAAAGTCAAGCCACTTGATTTCTCATTAGCTGGATAGTGCTATCTTAACAAATAGATTTCCTCCCTGCTACCATCTGCAGAGTGATGGGACTGGACAGCTGGAAGAAGACATTTACGTAGTGCTCTCGACACGCCGGAACTTTACAGCAATATATCTTAATTCGTACTAATTGAGATAGTTGTTGAGTGTGTAATATCAAAGAGTATACGCAGTGCGAAAGTGTGTGTTTGTATGCATGTGGTAACAGGGATAGCACAATTTATAAGGAGAGCCCCTTTTAGAGGGACAGTACAGACATTGATCCATGCAGATATTAGATCATTTATCTCTGCACACTGTCCGTATCTGCTGTAGATATTGCTTGGCTCTCCTCCCTGTCAGCTGTGACATCGTTCCTTAACTTCTCTCCCCATCCCTATCTCTTTCTCCAGGTCTCGTATCCCGGACCACCACACCGTCAACCTGTAATTTTCTTTTTTTTTTTCCCACTTGAAACCTCCGAGGAATCTTCCCGCAGGTCTTGTCCTAAAGAGAAGAGAAAACCAAATTCTTTCTTGAACAGAACAGGTTTTCCACTCCTGTCATGACTGCAGTGGATGTGGATTTATGAGAACAGAAATATGAAATAACTCATACTGGGGCTGTAAGTGCACTTAGTTTCATATAATTCCTCTTTAGCGGTCCCAGGAGGAAGGTGAGGACTTTTTAATAACTCCTTCCATTCACCTCCATCCTTATTAAGGGGTCTAGTTGAGTGAAAATGGAGACATCTACTGAGGGGGTGTTGAGAGGATTGATCTCGGCTGAGAAAAAAAAAAAAAGAAAGTGAGGGGGCTGCACTTTTTTTTTCCAGGCAGTTGTTGGATTCTCTCTCTCCAGAGCTCCGCTCCAGAATTTGACACATGAAGAAGTCTTTTATGGTGTCATTAGTGCAACTGTTCCATGGAGGACAAATGATTCTGTGGGTTAAGAGGAGTTAATCACCTGCCAGTCAAACCTCATCAAGCCGCCTCTACGGATGAGGCGCTATACAAATCTCATCATATTTATGGAGCCTCAATTAAGCCGATACAGGCAAGGAGACACATGCATAAAGAAGAGAGTGACAGGGGTAGGAGAGGGAAGGCTTGGAGTGGGAAAGAAAGAAAACGAGATAGTGGGAGACAGTAAGAGCTGGACGACGCTTGTCTGACACTAAGCAGCAGAAATGTAATGTCTTAAAAGGCCATCACAGTCAATAAAGTTCCTAATGTGCTTAAAGCAATTACTGTGTCCGGAGAGGAACAGAGTGCATGCAGGATATTAACCCCAGTAACCCACTCTATCTGGACCATAATTAAATTATCCTCACATCCTCATTCTCATACAGACACACATGCACGCACTCAAACCACACACTTCAGCAAGCGTGCATTCATTTATGCATGTTCACAGGAAGTGTGTGGAGAACTGTGTGTCAGCTGATACCTTGAACTGTGAAAAGAGGAGAAAGTAACAGGCTGATTATGATGTGGATCTATGGGAGCAGCACTAACAAGTATTATTTGACCTTGACATTGATTGATGTGTCATGTTTTGATTAAAACAAGGAGACTGCCAGTCTCTCAGAAAACTGCAGGCTCTCACGCATCAATTGTCAGTCGACGGGTCGGTGATGTCTCCGACAGCATATAATAATCTTCAGTAATTACTTATTTCAAGGGCCCTTTAGTTCCATTTAAAAGTGATGTGTGTAATAATTGACAGGTTCCAGCAAAGGTATTTATAATTTAGTATTAAGTCTAAGGGGGTCATGACTAATTGATATCAAGGAAGAAAGTGAATTCAATCAACTTTTTCCCACTCGTCCATCTGTTTGTACATAATTTCAATTTCCTTCTAGCTCTTAGTGTTTAAAGAGGCTTTCTAACTCTTTTTAGCATTTGGATCTGCTGCCCGTTCCTTCTGCTCTGCTTCTTTTCACCCGGCATTATGCATATTCAAGTTTAAATAGTTATGCCCAAGTAACATAGCTAATATGCTTCTTGGGCTGATTTAATGCCATTTAATAGTTGTCATACAAAATAATATTTGCAGAGCCAGGGAGAATTCTTGACACTACAGACCCTAATTATTGCCTCTGAAAATAACAACCCAGCCTTAAGCATTCTGCATGGGCTCCCGAAGGCGCTTTTCTCAGCATCTAGGACAGCTTTTGTGGCTGGGCTTGGCAGTTTGCTAATTTTGTATTTCTAGATGGTGCCTCTTTGGTTTATTTTGGGCTGTGCTTGTATCATTAAGTACTTTTTCATGACCTTGCTTTGGGAATGCTAAGGTGTTTCTTCAGGTTAGCGTTAAATAAAGTTCCCTTAAATGCCACAATTAGGTTTGCACGTATTTGCACAGCGACACAATTGTTGTAGTTTTGCCTCAGTACAGCACTGCAGTGCATGATTTCAGCTTTAATACAAGGGGTAAACAAAAGCATCACCTCAGCTGTTTAGGAGTTAAAATCATTTTCATACATATCCCCTCATTTTCAGAAGTTCAAAGTTAATTAGACAATGGACTGACAAGCAGTTTCGCAGAAAGATGAGTCCTTTTCTCTATTTTATGACAAATTAAGCAGATAAAAAAATGCATATTAAACTTTCATTTGGTAGCTGGTCACTGGAACTCTTAATATGAAGGCCTGGACCGTGGTGTAACCTGCCCTTGCGCTATGGTAGCTGTGACAGGCTCTAGACGCCCCATCCCTGATAAGAATAAGTCAAAGAGAATGGATACATGTATGAACCAATCAGAGAACTAGCAAAAAACTTGAAGTGGCCAAATTGAAAATCCGGTACATTTTAAAAAAGAATGAATTCACTTACCAGGTCAGCAACACCAAAAAAAAAACCCTTAAGGTCCACAGAATATGACTAAAGTGGATGATCGTGAAATTCTTTCCTTGGTGAAGAAGAAGAAGAAAATCTTCTAGCCCAGGGGTGGGCAATCTCAGTCCACGAGGGCTGGTGTCTCTGCAGGTTTTAGATGTGTCCTCGAACCAACACAGCTGATTTAAATGGCTAAATTAGCTCCTCAACATGTCCTGAAGTTCTCCAGAGGCCTGGTAATGAACTAATCATGTGATTCAGGTGTGTTGACCCAAGGTGAGATCTAAAACCTGCAGGGACACCGGCCCTTGTGGACTGAGATTGCCCACCCCTGTTCTAGC